TGTAATTGTTTTAAAGGTATAAATTTATGAAACAAATAATTAATCATATGCAGGAAGCTTTGTTATAAATCCATTTACTTGTATTTTTGCATTATTGTTTTTCATGCATCTCATTTTTCGTATATAAATTAGAGCTTACTATATATATAAACGTTTACATTTTAATGGTGCCAAAAAAGCATTTCCATTGACATATTTTCATTTCCTGCTGGGTCATATAATAATTTATATTTCTTGTTTGACTTATTTATATCTATGTCTTTCAGGTTTTGATGAAATAACTCACTTTCAGCTTCTTCCTTTAAAGTATTAAACACTCTTGCCCCTTTTTTATTTTTTTGCAGAAAAAAATTCCTAGCTGGAGTAAACTAACACAAAAAATACATAAACATATATTTAAATACGTAATATCATTGTAACACTAATTTAATAAAAAAAATATAACGTGAATATTTTTGTAAATATTTTGGTAATATTTTAAAATAAAAATTACGTTAACCTTATATAATAACGCTAAAATGGAAGATATTCCAGCCATTGTAGCAAGAACTTTATACACAGTGTCTTGCGTGGAGTTCGTTGAATCGTTATCTAAAATGAATTCTGATGATTCTTTTATATCATCTGTTTGGAGTACGTTAGCAAAAATGAGTTCTGGTGATTCTTTTATATCATTTTTTTCGCATACGATTGATTCTAAAGCTTCGTTAGAATATAATGATGGTATATTGTTCTGAATGTCTGTTTCCTTATAAAGATATCCATCATATGCTATTTTAAAGGAATCTAACATATCACAAGTTCTTTTATTATCATGGGACTTACCATTAGAGCAATACTTGCCCATCATATGTTTATATATTTTTACCCCTTCGTTGACATACTTTTGACAATAACAATAGATTAAATTTTTATCACCCTTTAACGTTGTTTTAATAGCATCCATATTGGATGTGAAAATATTCAAAGTTATTATATTTATTGGTTCTTTATAAATTTCATCGTATGAATAATATTGGCATATATTTTTATTATATGATGAGGGCATTACTAGTTTAGAGGTATCTAACATATTTTTAATAAACGTATTATCAATATTTTCCTTTTTAACGTACTTATATAACCAGTTATTTAAATTAACACAAAGTTCAGGATCATGTTGATAATGAAGATCATTCTTGCAAAATTTTTTCAAATTTCTTGTAAGTTTCATACAAAAAAGTTTATATTTCCTTTCATCATCACCCAAGTAGTTTGTAATGAATTTGCAATGGTTTGTATCTTTACTGTTCTGTCTATTCTCATCTACATATTCATCAAAACTTTCATATAATTCCCATACTTTGTGTAAAAAGGGATACTAAAAATAAAGGAAAATTACATAAAAAATTATTTAACAAAATCATATTCTTTGTTCCTAAAGAGTCGTTCAAAATATAATAAATTTGGTAGAAGATATTTTTTTACAAGAATAATAAAAAAAAGCCAACTATTTTCCTGAGTTCTCTTATATTCAAAATTTCTTCAGGCATATTTCAATAATAGAATAATAAAACACAATTTAGTATATATATATATATATATTTATAAATAAATTATCACAAAAAATATCAGCACATTTTAGCATTTATTTGTAGTCATATTAAAAATGCAGTTAAACATTTATTATTACTGATGCATACTTAATAGTGCGTTGTGTTTGAATTAATGCTGTAATATTAATATAAAAACAAAAATAGCAAAATAAGCTTATAAAATACCAGACTTGACATGGTTATAATATATTATAAAGTATGATTTTGGAAATTTTCCCTTATGTAACAATTGTACAGCAGTATAAATATTATTTATTCATTATAAAGTATTAATTTAATTGTACATATATGTGAATAAAATATTTTTCACAAGTTTTAATTTACATAAAACCGATAATAACAGAAAATGTGTCTTATGAAAATGAGGTTTTAGTATGTTATATGAAATTACCCCTTATAAACAATATCAATGTTTCTATGACTAAATGTTGGCCATTTAAGTTGTTATATATACACATTACATGATATAACAATTGTAAATAAATGTATCTTTTGTAAATATTAAAGGGGCTACTATAATGTTCAAAAAAGGGTAAAATAAAAAATATATAATAGCGTCTTAAATTTAAGGAAAGTACAATATGAATCATGTATTTATTATTTCGTTAAAAATTTTTATTGTTTTAATATTTGCTGTAATTATGAATGTAATGTTTGACAAATGAGCTATATTCATCAAATAGTAAGTTAATATATTTTATTTTTTCCATTTAATATATGTAATGATATGCATTTTTTCCCCTATGATGTAAAAAAGGGATTAATGTAGAGCAAAGTACGCTATTTTCATTTTAAACACCATTGTATGTGCAAAATAATACAAAAGTTCAGCTTAAACTCCTTTTTATGCAAAAGCAGTTAATCAAACTATTAAACAAATAAAATAAATAACGATTAAGCTATATATTAATGAAGCAAAATTATATAGAATGTATGAGCAATTTTTTATTCATAATAAATATAAATTTTTAATATTATGAACTTGGGAAAATATATAATAATGTGTGTTAATGTACATTGGTTCCCATAAAAAGCTATCAAGTAAATATGGTTGTTAACACTTTTATTAGAGTTATGCAAATAACATATATTTATTAGTAACATTATTTTTACATTTGTTTTCAAGTTCAAGAAGTAATATTCGTTTATATATATAGATAAAATAGTATTTATAGACAAAGTAAAAAAAAAAAAAAAAAAGACAGTAATTACATACATAGGAACATATACACACATTAGTACTATATGAACGTTTTATTATTTCCTAAAATATAATATTTGTTAGTAATAGATTATTGCAGTGTAAATTTTTTTCTTTTGCACACTGGTCTGCTTGGCAAATACGTAAAATTTCATCAGAATCCATGGGTTTTTAATGATATTTAGGAATACCCAATTATTAAGAAAAAGTCTATTAAAAATGATTCAAAAGTTTTTAATAATTATTTCCTTTATAATGACCTTTTTTTCTATATTAACTCTTAATGTAACACATTTTTTTAATTTTTACCTTATTTTTTATTTTCGCATATTATGTAACATTTTAATCAAAGTTTTGGACAATTCATGAACATCAAGTTAACACTAGATACGTTTTTCTAGATCAACATGAGGAAAAATAAATTTATGTTAAATGTGAAATAACGAAAAATTAACCCCTATTAAAATGAATAATATCTAATTAAATGTCTAACATTAATTTTATTATTTAAGAATAAATTCATTTAAAAATTAGTAACAATTCATTGAAACAAATAGTTGTGTGACAGCAAGGTTTTAGAATAAATGAGAAAGAAAGAATTATGTTACAGTACATGGCACTTAAGAGTTGAATTCTAATGATAATAAAAATATATGTTTAAACGTGTTCGTTAAATTAATGATAATACACGTTTTTGGTGCAAAAAATAAAACATATTTAGCATAATACACTTTTTTTTTTAATATTTATAAATTATTATTTAATTTAAGCATTAAAATAGGGCACATTCTAAAAATATTATTGCCCTTATTGGATTATTTGCCTTCTTTTGAAGTATTCTAAAAGTGTGCTTGTTGCATTGTGTAGATGATAAACGCATGGAGGGTAAATTCATGTATATATATAT